TTCACAGACCCAATGGCCACCAAAGCGCTTTACATTTTGCCTCACATTCACCCATTCACTCACTCATTCATACACCGACGGGCGACGGCAGCCATGCAAGGCGCCATCCAGCTCGTCGGGAGCAGCTGGGGTTAGGTGTCTTGCTCATGGACACCTCGACACTTGGCCAGGTGGAACCGAGGATTGAACCACCAACCTTCCGGTTTGTAGACAACCTATATGAACCACTGAGCCACTGCCGCCCCAACTTGGGCCAATGCAGAGCTGGCCTCGGATCGAGCTACCAAGCAACACTTTCTGATGTGTAATTGTTCAAGTTCAGACAGGTAATCTTTCTCTCAAAATCGTTCAATACTGTTTATGCATCAGTAAGTCAAGCCAGTGACTATACAGAAAGCGATACAGAAAGCGATCAAAGAACAATCTTTCCACACAGCGCGAGTTTATCTGGACACTTGCCAAACTCGTTATGAAATCAATGACGCACGTTACTGCACAACGAAGCTCTTACTGTATTTACATCATCGTGTTTGCATTGGTGAAAGCAGAGAGAGTGCAGAAACTGCTTTGCAATGATAAGATCTTCATTCTCGCGATCAACAGACTGTCCTCTGCTCAATGCTCATCACGGCAACATTTTATGTGATGGGAATAGATCTAAATACTTTAAAAACATCTCACGATTCGTTAATCTCGATAGCTGTTATAGTAAAAACGTATAATAGCAGTAGTAAAAGTATTCGGGAGAGAGTTTCACATGTAATGCGTTGCTATTTCATATGCAAGCATGTCAGCCAATCACAGCAGTGGCCGCGGTTACACTGAATCCCACAGCAGACACGCCCCTTCAAACAGAGTGTTCAAATCAGAGGCTAAAAGCAGGCTAGGAAAAATGCCATTTATTTCTAAATTATGATTATTTTTTATCTAAAAAACATACTAACATTATAAGGGTAACCCAGGAAACATTATAAAAAAATTAAAAAAAACATTCTAGGGCACCTTTAAGTAAAGTAAAGATACGTGAAAAATTTACTTAAGTAAAGTTACATTCCACCACTGGTGGTTTCCATCCGTCAGCCCCTCCTTGGTCACAACCCTGTCAAGCTCCACGTCCTCTTCCAGAGCCTCCACCCTCCCTTCTCTGTTGGACTTTGCTATTTAGTTACAGTCCGAGAACGTGTCTTTCGGGAGTTTGAAGTTTGTTAGTTTCTTTGCGTTTTGTTTTGGTTCTGTTCCTGTTGTTTGTTTCTATGGTTACTGATTATGTTTTGCACCTCTCTAGTTCTGTTGATTAGCCTCCTTGTGTATTTAAGCCCTGAGATTTCCTTATTTCCTTGTCTAGTGTTTGCGTTATTTTATAGCGTGTAGTTCTTGGTTTTTACTGGTGTTCAGTAAAAGTCAGTTGTATCGTGGATTAACCCTAAGCCTAACCCTAACCCTAACACTTCAATTCAAGTCACCTTCATTTATATAGCGCTTTTAACAATATAGATGGTTTCAAAGCAGTTTTACAGTGATAATAATAAGAAATTAATTTCCTGGTTCTGGTAAGAACTCGAGCTGCTGCGTTTTGGACCAGCTGTAGTTTGTTTATTAAGCGTACAGGGCAACCACCCATAATAGGATTACAATAATCTAGCCTTGATGTCATGAACGCATGAAATAACTGTTCCGCATTTGACATTGAGAGCATATGACATAATTTTGATATATTTTTAAGATGGAAAAATGCGGTTTTACAGATACTAGACATGTGACTTTCAAATGAAAGATTGGTATCAAAGAGCACACCCAGGTTCCTAACCGACGACGAAGACTTGATAGAGCAGCCATCAAGTGTTAGACTGTATTCTAGGTTATTACGTGAGGAAGTTTTTTGTCCAATAATTAGAATCTCTGTTTTTTCAGAATTAAGTAGTAGGAAATTTCTAGTCATCCAGTTTTTTTATATCAGCTATGCATTCCGTTAATTTTGTAAATTGGTAAGTTTCGTCAGGGCGTGAAGAAATATAGAGCTGAGTATCATCAGCATAACAGTGAAAACTAATGCCATGCTTCCTAATGATATCTCCCAGGGGTAGCATGTACAGAGTGAACAGCAACGGTCCTAGTACTGAGCCTTGTGGTACTCCATACTGAACTTGTGATTGATGAGACATTTCTTCATTTACTGCTACAAACTGATAACGGTCAGATAAGTATGATTTAAACCATGTTAATGGTATTCCACTAATGCCAACATAATTTTCCAGTCTATTTAAAAGAATGTTGTGGTCACTGGTATCAAATGCAGCACTAAGATCGAGTAACACTAATAGAGAGATACAACCACGGTTTAATCATAGCCAGCTTAAATGTTTTTGGTATGTATCCTAATGACAAAGATGAATTAATGATATTAAGAAGAGGATCTATGACCTCTTCAAGCATCTCTTTCAATAGCTTAGTTGGTATAGGGTCTAACATACATGCTGTCGATTTAGATGATTTAAAGAGTTTAGAAAATTCTTCCTCTCCTATAGTAGTGAATAAATCGTTTTTTTCCTCAGGGAGACAACAATGCATTGCCTGATGCGATGCTATAGTAGACTGTTGCATAGTTATAATTTTCTCCTTGATATTATCAATCTTGTAAGTAAGGAAGTTCATAAAGTCATTACTTATGTGCTGTTTGGAAACGTCTGGGGTTGAAGCTTTATTTTTCGTTAATTTAGCCACTGTTTCAAACCTAGGGTTTTGTTTATTTCATTTCTAATAGAGTTTAAACATAAGCAGATCTAGCAGCTTTTAAGGCCTCTCTGTACGCAATCGAGCTCTCTTTCCATGAAATGCGAAAAAACTCTGGTTTTGTTTTCTTCCAGTTGTGCTCCATTTTTCTGGCTGCTCTCTTAAGGGCCTGAGTGTGCTCGTTGTACCATGGCGTTGGATTATTTTCTTTAATCTTCTTTAACCGCAAAGAATAAATCTTACTTCACAACAAGGATAAATCAAGTGAGCAGATTTAATCAGTTTTCTATGTCTACAGTGTGTATTATCCGTGTGTTGAATGGGTGGTTGCTCAGGAATGGAGGGGGCGTATGTCTGTTGCTCACATAGTTTTCTATAGATAAACAGCCCACCAGTATCTCATTGAGTGAACAGATGCCAAAGAATCGCACAACACCTTTCAAACCAACTTTACTGGCTAGCAAAATCATTTCAAAGATCAGGTAAGCACAATATTTCTAATCTGAATTATAATCTTTTACACTTTCTTGAAGTTAGAATTACTAGAAAATCAATATATCTGTTTTAACAACTTTATTAATCCAACATGTCAATGTAATCATTCTTTTTAATGCATAACCAGTCCTTATTTTGCCTTCCTTTTTCAGTACATAAAATAAAACGTCTTCTTTGCTTTTTAAACTGTAAATTTGACTCCTGTTGGTTATATAATATGATGACTTCATCGCTGAAGCTTTTTGACCTTTAACTCATTGCTGTGTGTTTGTGTCATATAGGATGCACTGTTAGTTTAGAAAGTATTTAATATATTATGTTAAGCATTTGCTTCTGGTGATGTGATAAAGACAGTTTTTTGTCATTATGTACAAGGCTAATATTTTTATGTAAACATGCAAATTATTAAAATAACTAAATAAAAATGTTTGATTTGTACAGTAAAGAAACATTTTAGATTCTATTAAGATTTCTGCACTTCTTTCTTCACTAATAAAACAAGCAAATTTGTGAGACTGACTCAAATTTCTTTGTACAGACGCTCAAATGTTTTTCAATTTTAACTCAAGATGCTCTTTTGAATATTCTCAAATCATGCTGGATAACATGATCATCAGGATTGGTTCATGTCAGCTTGAGTGCTGCTGTCAATAAAGCAAAAGGGACATGTCTGATATTAAGACATTCTCAAATTTATGGTCACATTCAAGTTGCGATACTGATTATTTAATTCATTTTGGAATGTACTAACATTATGGGCAGTAACCACCATGTAAAACGTTCATTGTTGATCAGAATGGCACAGCTGGTAACGTTAAAATGTCTGTTTTATTTAATAAATATTTATTATATATTTAAACCTTCCTTGGAAATAAAATAATATGAATATCAATATAAACCTGCTTTTAAATTGAGCAGTGATTTCAACATCTCACATTTATACATTGTTCTAAATTATTGAACTGTTACCGAGAAGTAAATGTCATTTAGTGCACTTAGACCCTTATTCACAATGACCTCCAAACAGGGTAACTGAGTGCCAGTGTAGCTGTAAATGAACTGCACCTGCCACGTCTGTCAGTCGCTGCCTCATAACACTTTTTTTAGCCACATGGCTTCCTCCCAGGGACACACCAGCACCAGCAGTATACAATGTTACGAACCACTGTCATGTTCATTCAAGGGTAAAATAGATTATATAATGTAAATTACATTTATTTTGATTTGTACTTTAGGTTAAAGTCATTAAATGGAAGTTGCAATAGTCTTTTTTTCCCTATTGTGAAGTATATCCGTGTGAAATAGCTGGAACAAGAACAAATGTTGGGCGGGGCTTAATTTTGTCCATGGTGAATTGATTGGATGGTTGTGGTTTGCTATTGGTCGATCACGAGTGAGTGACAGGTCATCCAGTCTTTTTTGATTAAAGATTGAGTGCACATGAATTTAAAAAAAAATCATGATATGCACAGATAATATAATAATTATAACAAATACATGTCCCACAAAAAAAAAAACCCCAAAAAAACAAGAATTGTCCATTTTGATTCCATGGTAACATTAATTCAGTAATAATTTCATATTTGTGAATATCACCACATGGCAACACCGTTCATTTCATAAAGTTAAACTATACTAAACTTTGCTTTACCATGGTCTCTGTCGCTCATGTCACTTTTGTTTGAATTAGGTCACTTGGCTGCAAATCATCAGTATGTGTGTGTCCATTTTTTTTTTACCTGAGTAACCCAAGCCAAATATTTCATTCCAAACAGGGTGCTGGAGTCTGGCATCAAAAAGGTTGAGTCTCCTGCAGACACAGAAGGCAAAGAGAGTTCTGCCAGTCAGGTGACTGAAGCTACACAGCTCTCCTCAATGATTAAACTTGATCCTCCACCGACGGGGGTTAAAAACAGTGTTCCACATCCATTCCTTTCCACCAGCAAGCTGAGTAAACCAGTGGAACCCAGAGCCAGTGCCATGAATGTGGCTGACCTGCCCACCTTCTCGCCATCACTTTACCCCCCCAGCGCCTTTCATTATGAGCGTCCTCGTCATTTCATTCAGTCCCTGCCCAGTTATCACACACCCGACAATGAGATCAACAAGCCGAACAATCTCAGCTCCCCAGCTCCAACCGCTGCACAGTCGGTGAGCCCAACTCAGCCTGCAGCCACTCGCACATCAATGTGCTCCAGCATGACTTTGATTCCTAAAGCACAGCCTGCTCTGAACAGTGAGAACCTGTCGCCAGCAGCTTTCCTATCATCTGTCCTGCCTTCACTACCGAGCTCCCAGGCAAAATGCATTTCCATACCTCAATCGCCCTCTCCCAGGCGTTCCCCTCGATCACACAGCCCATCGCCAAAAGCCCAAGAACAACCCCTGTCTCCTCTAAGTCAGTCACTGAGTCCCGCTCCTTCAACTGTCCAGCCTCGGATATCTCCAAATTCCCTGAAAGCACCTGCTCCACCTCAAAAGCCCCCACCTGTGTCTCAGATTACCTACACACCCAACACGTAAGTGTGTTATCACAGAAATTATCTGAAATTTGAATTGCATTGAGGATTTTTAAAAATGTAACTATATTTCAAAATGTGCTCAGATATGCAAGGATATGTAATCAAAATCCAAACAATTTTCATCCAGAACTTCCAAGTGGTGTCATCCACATACAATTTGTAGCTCTCTGTCAAAATTTGTTTGTATTTTACTTAAAGCGCTTTAAGAGAAACATCTGAAAAATTTTGATAAAGTTGATACTTTGAAATCTCAGAGCAAAAAAGAGCAAACTTTAAGCAATGCAAATTTCCCATGTTTTGTTTTTTCATAGCTTGCCAAAGCCGATCTTGAAGAAGACTGTTTCCCGACCAGCGTCTCGTGCCACAGATGAAGACATTCAGGGCTCAAAAGATGCTCTTATCCAAGACCTTGAAAAGAAGCTACGAAATAAAGTTCCCCAACAAAGGAACATTCAGGTATCTAAAGATTTTCCTGAGTGTATGATCTGTCTATTGGTAAAAAAAAAAGTGCTGCATTGAAAATCTAAGAATAAGTGCATTTTTGTCCCAACAGCAGAAGATGTCTTATGAGGAACGGATGGCTAGAAGATTGTTGGGTGCAGATAGTGCTGCCTCAGTATTTGATCTTGAAAACTCCTTCAGTTCACAGCCTGAAGAGGTATTGTCGTTTTCAGTTATTGGATGTTTAATATAATTGCCAAATACCAAGTCTCTGTGCAATCCAAGATGACTGATCTATGGTTATGGCTATATTCACACAGCATCATGTTTGTATTACTTAGTACTGTGTTTATACACAGACAGTTGGATTAGGAAAGAGATTGACAACAATAGGTTACTGTCGTAACCCCGGTTCTCTGAAACATCGAGTGGAGAGATCCACCTATGGGAAGGGCATCCGTACCTGACCTCTGCAGAAGCATCCAATTGCACCAAGTCTGGCTAACAGACAGAAGCGCGCAGCCAATGCCAGGTGAGGCCACACCCCCTTACCTACGGGCATATCACAGCTGGGCGCGCTGCTATTCCTCAGTAAGTATATTCGCTTCTCGTGCGGCAAGCGGGGCAAAGCTGGTGGATCTCTCCACTCGATGTTTCAGAGAACCGGGGTTATGACAGTAACCCATTGTTCTCTTTCATCATCTCGTTTCGAGATCCACCTATGGGAGAGACATGGACAGCTCCCCGATTGCCCAATACACTCACAGTGAGGTTCTGAAGGCCAGAGAAGGACGGTCACCTCAGAGAGGCGGTGCCTGACACGTCCCACAAACATGACCCTGCAAGTTTTCCGCCACGCTAACTGCTGTGGACAAGCAGGGCATGAAACATGCATGAGACACATACATGATAATGGCCCCCGCACCACCAATGCACATAGCTAAACCCAAGAAGGAATGCGAATGCTTGGTGACAGGAATGAACATGGCCAGCCGACCCATTCACTCCTCGTTGGTCAACCAAACGGGGCTGTGGGAAAGGGCTAAGAGGACCCTACCCCTAGGACCGAGTGTGCCACCGAAGTTCTGGTGACATCCAACTGGTAGTAACGCTCAAAGGTATGAGGAGAGGCCCAGCTGGCCGCGGAGCAGATGTCCTGCAGTGGCACTCCCCTGAACAAAGCCCAAGAGGCGGCTAAGCACCTTGTGGAATGAGCTCTGATGCCCCTTGGGGCTGCACTCCCTTTGCTTCATAAGCCATAGTATAGCGTCCACAAGCCAATGTGAGAGGCATTGCTTTGAAATGGGATTCCCCTTGTGCAGGGGAGCCCTTGAAACAAAGAGCTGGTCGCTCTTGCGGAAAGCACTGGTCCTGGTCATTATGCTTGCAGAGCACGGACGGGACACAGAGCATTCAGCCCCTGATCCTCCGGGGAGGCAAAGGGTGGAGGGTGAAAAGCGGATAGCTCCAAAACCTCTGACGTGAACGCAGGGAAGCATTTCGGCATGAAGGCCGGGTTAGGCTTAAGGAAGACCTTATCTCCACTTAGGGAGAATTTGGCGCACGAGGGGTGAACCGAGAGTGCATGTAGCTCACTGACACGTTTAGCAGATGCCAAGGCCGAGAGCAAAGCTGTCTTGAGGGACAGCAGCTTAAGGGAAATACTCCCCAGAGGCTCAAAAGTATACAGAGACCGCGCTTCCAGCACCATGGAGAGGTCCCACTCTGGGACAGATTCAACAGATCTCCTGATGACCAGCAAAGAGCGGCGTGCACCCTCCATAAATCTGCGGGTTAGAGGGTGCTGCCTGACGGTGGAGCCCCAAAACCCACATGACAGGCTGAAATCGCAGCCAGGTAGACCTTTATAGTGAAAAAGGACCTGCCTCTTTCCATGAGGTCTTGCAGGAAACACAAAATATCAGGCACCGAGCACTGATAAGATGTGAAACCACGCCCATCATACCACCCTTCGAACACTTGCCACTTACAGCCATATAGGGATCGCGTGGAAACGGCCCTGGCCTTCTGAGTAGTGGCGATTACATGTGGCGGGAGCCCCAGTGCATTTTGGTTCGTCCTCTCACGGGCCAGGCCCAGAGAGCCACCCTGTCCGGGTGGGGGTGGTAAATCTCCCCGTTGGCTTGGGACAGTATGTCCGTGCGAGGGGGGAGGCGCCATGGCTCGGCGTATAACAGAGGGATTATCTCTGCCAGCCATGGGGCTTTGGGCCACCTGGGTGCTATCAGAATGAGAGACAGGCCGTGCTCTCTCACCCTGGCCAGTGTGAAAATTATCAGGCACAGGGGAGGAAAAGCATACAACAGCACTTTGGGCCATGGGTGGGCCAGTGCGTCTGCCCCGAGGGGCGCGTCCATGTCCTTTAGCGAGAAGAACATAGGACAATGGTGATTTTCGCGCGAGGCGAAAAGATCTACGGCTGCCTGTCCAATCTCATCCATAACCTCTCCACTATCTGCGGGTGAAGACGCCAATCCCCGTGGATTGGGTTTCCCCTCGATAGCAGATCCGCGCCTCTGTTCCGAATGCCCGGGACATGAGTCACGCGTAATGACAGAAAAACCTGTCTGCTCCACACCAAAAGCCTGTAAGCTAGAGCGTGGAGTTTCGACGAGCGCATGCCACCCTGACGGTTGATATAAGCCACTACCGTGGTATTATCGCACCGTACTAGAACAGGATGTCCCTGCAGGCAAGGCAGAAAATGATTCAGAGCTTTCCAAATAGTAAAAGCTCTAAATAGTTAATGTGCGCTGAACGTAGTCTGCTCAGCCACAGACCGTTCACCGTTCTGCCTTCCTGGGTGGTTCCCCAGCCTGTTAAGGACGCATCTGTCGTCAAAACTTTTCGCATCATACCGTCCGGAGGGGGGGTTCCCCGTGCGTAAAAGTTCTCGCTCTCCCAATGGCGCAAGGCCGCCGAGCAGGCGCGTCATCGTTACCGAGCGGCAGAGATCGCAAATCGGGCGGAAATGTAGTGTACAAAACCCATTTCGTGAACGTTCTCATTCTCAGGAGACCAATGGCACAACTTGGATAGATGAAGCCATGAGATCCTGCAGCCTGAGGCATGTGCGATATTGTACTCGCCCCCGCTCGGGCCGGAGCGGAGCTGTATGGGCCCAGCTGGTTCATTTGTGATGCAAAGGCGCCATCTAGTGGGAACACTAGAGGCGACATGCAAGGGTTTGGAGGGATTTCCTCTCTCTGCAGTGAGAAGTTTTCTTTGCGGAGAGAGGTCTTCTCTCCAAAACGAATTCATTTGATTCGTAGCTTTGTGTGTTTTGTGTTGGGCAAACACTGGGGCCGAAGCCTTTATTGACAGAGTGAGGGAAACATAGTGTGGTGTCCACTGTGCTGAACTTTCCCTCACAAGGTGCCCCCAAAAGTGGGAAAAACACATATCTCCTGAACACATGAACTGGGCAGTCTCAAGTGCAGGCAGAAAAATAATATCCGCGGAGAGAGAAACTCTCTCTGTAACGGATTTATTTAATGCGTTTTTTTTTTCAAGTGTTATTTAGTTATGTGTGTGTTTTGTGTTGGGGAACACAGGGGCCTTACACACACAACGTCCACTAAAAACACATCGGCTGGACAGCCGCAACTGAGCTGTGTGAGCCCAGTTGGTTGATTTATGAGGCAATGGCGACCTCTTGTGGACGGACTCAGGGCGACATGCATGGGATCAGAGAGATTTGCTCTCTATGTTGCCGCTGGCAGATATATAAATCTGCACGAATTCATTTGATTCGTTTATTAAATGTGTTGTTTAGTAATGTGTGTGTTTTGTGTTGGGAAACACTGGGGCCGAAGCCTTTAATAACTGGGTGAGGGGAACCAAGTGCGTGCGGTGTGGTAACACTGCTATGTACTTTTCCTCACGACAGCCCCCTCCCCCGTAACTTGTTGTTGTGGGGGGGAGGGGGACACACACACACAACGTCCACTAACATACGGGCTGGGCAGCCACGAGAGGGGATTAACCGACCGTAGGTGGGAGACCCTGTTAGTTAACGTTACTCCCAATGGTCGAACAACAGGCAGGCCGCTTGCGTTCGGGACCGCCTTCCTAGGAAGGCATAAATTGAAAACCTCAACACGTAATCGTAACAAATCAAGGCCCGTGAGACCGTGTTAACAGTCTGGCGGGACGCTCCAGCCGTTCAGACTGGGCGGTGGTCCCAGCGTTTACCCGTCGTACATATTCCTATCCTGGTCGGTGGCGCTCTGTGGAGCTGGCCACACAATGTTGAGACGAACGGCCGCTCGCTCACAAACTTCCAGGAGGATGGACGGAGGCAAAGCCGCGTGAACGCTAGCCTAGTGAACGCTAAAAGGACCGCGTCATCCCCGTCGCCGGAACCGACCGGTTCGTCAACGAGAGTGAGGTTTTCCCGCGAAGATGTCCTCTTCAGGGAATGCGGATTGGGCTGATGTCAGCTCAAATATTTTAGAGAGGTGGCGCTCCGGGAGTCACCTCTCTAAAAGAACTCGGAAAAATCCGTGGCGGGCAGCCATGTAAAGGAGGAGCAGGTGAAGGACAGCGAGAGCTCGGGCGGCTCCGGATGCAAAAAACACAGCGGATAGGCTGAAGAAACGACTGTCACTCACGTCTGGCGGAGGCTGATCTGGCGATATGTCCTGAACATGGCCAGCCGACCCATTCACTCCTCGTTGGTCAACCAAACGGGGCTGTGGGAAAGGGCTAAGAGGACCCTACCCCTAGGACCGAGTGTGCCACCGAAGTTCTGGTGACATCCAACTGGTAGTAACGCTCAAAGGTATGAGGAGAGGCCCAGCTGGCCGCGGAGCAGATGTCCTGCAGTGGCACTCCCCTGAACAAAGCCCAAGAGGCGGCTAAGCCCCTTGTGGAATGAGCTCTGATGCCCCTTGGGGCTGCACTCCCTTTGCTTCATAAGCCATAGTATAGCGTCCACAAGCCAATGTGAGAGGCATTGCTTTGAAATGGGATTCCCCTTGTGCAGGGGAGCCCTTGAAACAAAGAGCTGGTCGCTCTTGCGGAAAGCACTGGTCCTGGTCATTATGCTTGCAGAGCACGGACGGGACACAGAGCATTCAGCCCCTGATCCTCCGGGGAGGCAAAGGGTGGAGGGTGAAAAGCGGATAGCTCCAAAACCTCTGACGTGAACGCAGGGAAGCATTTCGGCATGAAGGCCGGGTTAGGCTTAAGGAA